GATGAGGATAATGCTGTTGATGCAGTACATGTGGAATTCCAAAAGTCATATGACATGCAACACAAATAGCTTTGAGCAAATTCACAGCAAAGCTGTCATTTATAACTTGCTCTTTACTGAGAAAGCTTCCCCATGCAAAAGGTACTGTATACGTGATCACCCACTGTTGCCAAAACATTCACTCATTCACATTTTTAAATGATAAAAATACAGTATTGGGATAGCCAACATACGGAAGGTCCCCAAGATAGCAGCTGATTGAAAAGGATCTTGGAGTGGCAACAACTGGAACTCAGCAAACAGAAAATGAAATGAGATCACCCCCTGCTGGCAGCACTCCAGAATCTTAGGGACCTTCAGTATCAAAATTAGCTAAAATAACAAGTAAGAATGAAAAAAAAATGCTGTATGAAATACAAGCATGTGGAAATATTTTCTTCTTCTGGTTTACTGCTCAGCAATTCGCTTTACAAAATCATGGACACCTTCAAATAAAAGGACTTCTTGTACAAGTCTCTTAGGTCTCCCTATTTTACAGGTTTCATTGTACCATAACATTTTTTTTCAATGTTGCATAATCAACTCCCAAATAATATAAAGCACCCAATTACTGAGTATGGAACAAACCACTAACTCACTGATAACTAGCACATAGGGGGAAAAAAAAAAATCTATTTTCGACTTTATAATGAAAATGCATCAATAATGGCAATGCTGTGTGATATTTTTAATTTAGTGAGAGCACAAGCATCATCCCCACTAATGTAACAGACATTAAGTAAGTCCGCACAATTTCACCATGATTAAATAGTTTCACCCACAGCCAACTTAACGTCATCTCACTACAATAACGCAAACACTCATTCATGCTTTTGAGCTTCAGAACTTATTCCCCCAATTTTCTCCTCTTCGACCTAAACACCTGTATTGCCGTAAACGTCACCTAATTTAGAATTCCACTGCTCATGGTCTCTACTGGACAAACTCCTACATTTACCAAAGTGTCCTTGTGAATTACATCTCTGTTACAACAATGTCAGGATTTTCACTCACTTACAAATCCCAGCTAGAGATTCAACCTCAAGCATACATTCTAACTTGAACTCCAGAATATTGCTTGTTTTCTTTGGATTCCACCAGAGATAGTTATAGCTATTGTAATACTGCTGTCTCATAGAAGCTCTTGAATATGTACACTTAGATTCCCTTTTTCCAAGTTTAAATACATCCTATTCCTTCACCCTTCTTCAGTTACATCATCACCTTAACAAATCCCACTGTTAAGCTCTTCCTTCACAGTGCCATATACAGTAAAATTTGAACTGTCAAGCATGTTCAACGGGATTGAATGCTGCCATTTAAATCAAAAATATTGGTTAATCCACTAGTAAATAACTTAGCTACCTTGGGAAATGTTTCCAGCAGTGCAATCACTTCAGGCTAACCACATTGGTAATTATTTTAACAACGTTTTTTAAAACACTTGTTACATTCAATTAAAAGCTGCCAATGTTCAAAACAACTGTGATTTGGCAATAATAAATATTCTAGGCAAACACTTTGACAGTCAGTCATAATGATAAGGCAGAGCGCCAGTTAAGGACTTCACTTTGCTTTGACTTAGTCCTTGCAGGCATTTGGGAAATGCAAGAAAAAAAATTGCCAAAATAAAGTTAACACAGATATCTGATTTCTGAAGGGTCTAGGCCCGAAGCGTCAGCCTTCCTGCTCCTCTGATGCTGCTTGGCCTGCTGTGTTCATCCAGCTCTACACCTTGTTATCTCCGATTCTCCAGCATCTGCAGTTCCTACTATACCTTAACACAGATATCCTTTGGACACCATGACATCTAGTGGAAGGACAGTACAATGCAGGCCACACTGTTACAGTAGGCAGATAGACCTCCAGAAGTGAGGAAGTGTGGAGTTGGAGGAACACAGCAGGCCACGCAGCAGAGGAGCAGGAAAGCTGACGTTTTGGGTCAGGACCCTTCTTCAGAAATGGGGGAGGGGAAGGGGGCTCTGAAATAAATAAATAAATAGAGAGGGGGATGGGTTGGGCTGGGAAAGGTAGGTGGGATGGTGATAGGTAGGAAGTGGTGGGGATTGGTCAGTGAGGTGGGAGGAGCGGATAGGTGGGAGAGAAGATGGACAGGTCAAGGAGGCGGGGACGAGAGGGAGGGTTGGTCTTGGGATGAGACCAAGGTGGGGACCCTTTCCCCTCCCCCATTTCTGAAGAAGGGTCCTGACCCAAAACGTCAGCTTTCTTGCTCCTCTGATGCTGTCTGGCCTGCTGTGTTCCTCCAGCATCGGCAGTTCTTACTATCTGAGTGAGTTAGACCTCTAGAGGAATGTCTGAACCGTGTCTAATTGATTCCAACAGTAAAGCAAGTTTGTTCTTCACAATTTCACTGTTTGACATTTTTCAAAAATGTAATCAGAACTTTACCACACAGCTCATGGAATAAAGGAGCCAGTAGCCATAGGGAGAGGAAATTGGCTACTTGGCAGGAAATAGTAGTGGCTAACAGATCTTTTTTGGACTGGGGAAAGTTTGTAGGAGTTCCTCAGGGGTCAGTGTTAGGACACTTCACGTAACCTTTGGTGTATGGTGAAGAAATTCAAAACCTGCAGCTGTGAAACTTCAAAGAATGTGAACTGAAGGATATAACTCTAAAAAAGGTTCAGATGCAGAAGGCCCAGGGTGTGCACAAATCATGAAGGTGGCAGGGCTGTTTGAAAGCGCAGTTAATTAGCCATACAGCACCCTAAGCTTTATTAATAGGTGCAGAGAATACAAAAACAAGCTGTGTTAAATCTTTATAGAATACTGGCTCAGCCTCAAATGAAATATTGTTACGACAGGGAAGATGTGAAGTTATTTGACAGAGGATAGAAGAGAGTCATGAAAATGGTTCCACGGATGAGAAACTTCACTATATAGTGAGATTGGAAGTTGTTTTCCTTACAGAAGGGAGAGACGAGATTTTATGGAGTATTCAAAAATCATGAGGGATACGGACAGAGTGGAGAGGGATGTTCCCTAGGATCGTGACCAAAAGGATTTAGATTTAAGATAACGACTGTAGTTTTAATGTCAGCATGAGGAATAACTCATACAGCAAGTGCTATCTTGAGTGCACTGCTCAAGTATGTGGAGGAGTCAAGTTCAATAATGGCATTCAAGTAGTGGAACTGGCCTGTTATCTGCAAAAGGAAGAAACGGGAGAAGGTCAGGCAGCGACCCTCATTAAATTACTCAAGCAGAGCGCTGGTGGAGACTCAACTGGTCTATGCTTTAACAGTTTTGTGAATTGTTAAGGGGAGGGTAGCCAAACTGAGCAAGTTACATAATAATTGTAGACGAACAGATCATAACAAATGCAGACTATCGAGACTAATCAGGCGACACAATTACTAAGGAGATTTGAGGTCATAGGAAGTTGATGTCTCCATCAGTAATCTAAAATACAAAAGCCAAAACAAAATCAAGAAATAAAGTGGGGCAGACCCAAAATATAACAATTCATTATAATAAATAGGATGAAACAGCTTAATTATGATATGCCTCAAGCAAAGTACATTTCCAGATCAGAGCTGCTTAATGGGTAATCTAATAGACTTGCAGAAGATAAGACTAAGGAAGGTTATATTTAACATCAAATCCTTCTCTAACAAGGAATCCGGGGAAATGATCATAAAATTCAAACTAACCAATCAAGAAAGAGACATTTGTAAATGTCTGCCAATGGGCACCCAGGGCACCCCAAGGAGCTTTACTGTAAACCGATTATTTTTAAAGTGTATTTACTGTTACATAGACCAATGTGGCAGCCAAAGTGTGCACAACCTGCTATTATGACCAACACATATGGCAAAGTAGCCATATTTCTGTGGTCATTCATTTGTGCTATTTTTTTGCTGCCTATGTTAGTGAGCCTACTCTTCTTCCAGTAATATTGTAGGATTTGATACCAATTGGAAAACAAAGTCGCGGACGTTATTTAACTCATCCAAAATCAAGTAGATTTCACAATACAGCATATTCTCAGCTCTGCACTTTAACATCAGCCCATATTTATTCCCAACTACCATGAAGCAAAGAGTGCCTGGAGAAACTTAGTAGGCCTGGCAACATCTGCGAAGAGAGAAAGAGTTTACATTTCTAGTCAGAGATGACTATTCTTCAGCGAGAAGGATAGACTGAACAGCTCATCTTTGTGTATATGAAAACACAAAGTTCCTCCAACTCTTTCGTGCCAATTTGTTTTTCTTTTCTAATGTCTCCCTTTTGTACTGTCTGAAGGTGACACTTCTGCTAGGTTATGAATCCACTGGTGTCAGCGACCCTCTAGCATCGCCTCCAAATAGTTGAACTTTGGACCGTTATGACCCATGTCATCCAACACATTTGGCATTCAATGTCATCTCCAAATCCAAGTAAAATGTGATTTGATGCATTCTGCGAGAGCAGAATAATGCAAGCAATGTTTTATCTGAAGAACTCTGAAGTTAAAGGCAATACCTTGCATGGTTCTTTATCACATTGTACAACGAGACCCTATTTACTTGGAATAAAAATAGCTACCCATCCTGAATATGAATGAAAACCTCCACAAGCACTTTAAAAATTATTTACAAATAAATAAACTCAAAATGCAATGACTTCCATCAAACCTCTTCATACTTCAAACCAAGTCAGCCACTCTAAAACTTACAATATTTGTACGTACATTTTACATATTGCACTATACTCCAAAAACACGTGAGCCACTGGCTGAAAATGTTACTTGCTATAAAATGGAAACAGTTATATAATACATTTTCAGCTGTTAACTGTGGTGGATTGCTGAATAAAGGCATTTAAAGGTGCCTAATATTTATTCTCATTCATGAATGAAACAGACAGTTGGTAGCAATGAACCCCACTTACGAGGTACTTTCTAGTGGGACTTATTTTTTCACTTATCTACAAAACAGAAAACCAGAGAGGCCACTAACCAGATTTGTGCTTTTTGTGTTTTGTTTTCTTTTTTAGCAATAGGGATTTCTTCTGGATTCCTGGTTTCTGAATCTTCAATTGATTTTGGCAAACTATATCTGGCCTCAACTGTGATATCTTATTCACAGCATCTTTCAGTTTCTTTTTCTTCTTCTTCTTTTTCTTGACATGAAGCTTAACTATCTCAAGCTCCTCAATTTTTTCCAAGAAATGTTTTGCAGAAATATTACTTATTTTACCAACCAGACAGCTTACATCCAAATTTTCAGTATGGCTTCCATTAATGAGTGTTTTGCAGCTTTTGATTGCCTTCTCGGTCAATGGTTTCACACCCTTTCTTAGCTCAGGGTCGTCTGTACAAAATTCACCATTTTCAGTTATTCTAATTTCTCCTGGACTAAGAGGCTCCCCATACCCCACAACCTCTCCAGGGCTAGCAGGCTTCACTAAATTTTCTTTACAAGAACCAATATTTTCTTTTTTCACCGAAGTTCTATGATTTTTACATTCACAGTTTAATTTTATTTCTTCTTCACCTTCTTGAGAAGGAAATTCTGATCCAGATTCCATCCTTAAATAAAAATCCTCCAGGTCGCTAGAGTCATGTCCTTCATTGGACTTTTTAGAATCAGTTGTTGTTTTGGTAGTGGTTTCCTTTCTGTTACTTTTTGGTTTCTCATGGCTTTCAGAAGAAAGTTCACTTTTTGCCTCCTCTGATTTCTGCTGTGAGATTCTACAGATTTTGATAGGTGGAATAGGGAATTCAGGTGGTGGAAGAGGAGACTGTTTATAAATCCTTAAATCTGCACCACAGAACTGTGGGAAATGGACATAGGCATTCTCGTGAGAATCATATCCCAGTATTACTTCTCTGCATTCATGGATGGGTTGCCCCAAAACAGCATCTTGAACCTCTTTCTGGGTTTCATAGACATAATCACATAAGCCTTTCAGTAACCAAACTCGTTTATAAAATGTTAACTGGTGGAAAGCTTTGGTTTCCAAAGGGCTAATTTCCCCCAGAACGCAGAAAAACTGTGGACAAAGTCCCAATTTCTCAGCATGCAAGTTGCGATTTTCTGCTTGACTGACCACTACATACCAATGAAGAACCCTTCGTTTCAGTGTAGCTTCCCAAATTTTGTAAGGAAATGGTGGCTTCCGGTGCAAAGTTGCTCGGCGATGGTGAGGGCTTAATAAAGAAGTCATTATTTTAGCCAGAAAACCACTACACTGGGGCATTAGAAGGCATCGCTCCAGGTCAAAATAGACAATTTCAGGCAAATTAAGGATCTGCTGAGCCAAACACAGAAAATGACCGATTGCAGGGATCTCCCAAAGTGTCTCCATGCGAGTAGGTTCAGCCAAGGCTCGCAGACTCTTCTCCCATTCTTCAATCTCTTTTTGCACAGCTTCTTCTGCCTCTTTCCTCTCCTGTTCACGTAATCTGAAAATAACAAAAACAAGGTTAAATCAACAAATGAAGATACTCGCAGATAGTTGTTTGACAGTACAGAGTGAAGACATGGCTGAAAACAAAAAGATATCCTCATCATAGAATCCCTAGTGTGGTAGCAGGCCATTCAGACCATGAAGTCCACACCAACCCTCCAAAGAGCATCCCACCCAGACTCACCTTATCTCTATAACCCCGCTTTTTCCATGGCCAATCCACCTAACCTGCACATCTTTAGATTTAGGGAGGAAACCAGAGCACTTAGAGAAAACCCACACACAGAGGGAGACTCCACACAGACAGATAGTCACCCAAGGCAGAAATTGAACCCGGGTGCCTGGCGCCGAGAGGCACCAGTGCTAACCACTGAGCCACCGTGTCACCTGCTAAAGTTTTTTGTCTTGCATCTCAATTAACACTGAAGAATGCCAAATTTCAACAGGAACAGCAATTTACACTGCATGAGAAAACATGATCGGTCGGCAAGCGGATTCTGACTAGTCGATGCACTGCCGTAGAGAATGCACCAGTGAACTAGCATCCCCAAGAGTTTAATTCTATAAAAACGTTTAATGTTTGGACATATTCTTTCTGCTTGCAGAGGAGAACCTCTTGTGCGAATATATGTACCTTCAGCAAATGACTAGAAAATGTTCAAACGTGAGATATTCATATTGTGAATCAGATTGATAACCTTACGTTTGTTGTTAGTGTAATTCTTAGCATACAATTCTTCACGTTTATAATTAGGTTTTAAATTTTGCTAGATGCCGTACATTCACATACAGAGTCTAACTTGGCAAGCAGAGAAAACATCCACTGTGATTAAGTTTTTATTTTGGATTTTTCTGTGTATGCCTTTGAAAGTTAGACCTTGTGGACATGATTTTTGACAGTGAAAGTACGGTGTACCCAGCTTTGATACATTTGCATTCTATACAACGAAACCATTTTCAACTGCAGGAATCCCATACATACAGCTGTACTTATGAACATTATCCCATAGAGATGTATGAATATTAAATTTTTAAAAATCCGACATATGAACATTTCCTCATACCTACAAACAGCTCTGTTGTGTTCTGACTTGCAAACAGGCTTGAGAATGGAACCCATTCGCAACTGAGGGACTGTTTGTACTCAATTCCCATCATCACCTATCTAGCTTCTCTTCATCTCTGGCTTACTATAAGCAATCCCTCTCTCTGGGCTCCCTCTCTTCCTACCTACTTACTCTTCTCACCCTCCCCCACCCTGGCCACCATCTGCTTAATCTTTGCTGGCCTGTTTGCAGCATAAATCCCAGATGCCAAATTTAAAAGCAGAAGCTAAAAAAGTACTGAGAAAGGGTAACTGAACACGAAACGTTAAACTCTGATTTCTCTTCACAGGTGCTGCCAAACCTGCTGAGCTTTTCCAGCAACTTCCGTTTTTGTTTCTAATAAGGTACTACCTGAGCCATGTGTAAATTGGTATTGAAAAATTTAGATCAGAGCAGTGAACGCCTGGCTCAAAAACTGGTATGGGAGAAGTAGGGTCCAGTCTGTGGGGAACCGGCACCAGTACTGGAGAAGAGGGATTTGTACCATTAGGACAGACCATTTCCAATCCATGTCAGGAACTGTGTACTTGTCAGCTTTACAGCGCTGAAGGAGAGAGGGCTTTTAATTAATAAAACAAATGGGAACAGGGAGGGATCAAGCTTGGGCAACTGTAATCAAAGGATAGTCAGGGTAGGAAAGCAAAATACTAATGTGGAAAATGATGATGAGAGAATAACAGCAAGAGAGAGGAAAAAAAAACCTGAGAATTTAGTTGTTAAGATTAGATACTATGATGAACAAAGTTAATAAATCAAGGTGGATAAATCTCCGGGACCTGATCAAGTGTATCCCGGGGCGTTGTAGAAAGTTATGCAGGAAATTGCAGGACCCCTAGCAGAAATATCTGTACCATCTATAATCATGGGTGAGGTGCCCAGAGGACTGGAAGGTGGCTACTGTTGTGTCTTCATTTAAGGAACGCTGTAAACAGCAGCCTGGGAACTATAGACCTGCATGGCGGTGGGTTAGTTGTTGGAGGTGATTACGAAAGATAGGATTTACACGCATTTGGAGAGGCAAGGAATGATTCGGGATAGTCAGCACTGTTTTCTGAGAGGGAAATAGTGACTCACAAACGTGATTGAGTTTTTGAGGAAGTAACCAAAAAGACTGAGGAGGGTAGAGCGATAGATGTCCGAGTAAATGACATTAATAAAGCCTTTGAAAATGTTCTGCACATAGGCTAATTAGAACATAGAACTGTTCAGCACAATACAGGCCCTTTGGTCCAAGGTGTTGTGCCGAACTTTTACCCTAAACCTAAGGTCTATCTAACCTCCATCTCTACCTTACACTATCATCTATATGCCTATCTAATAGCCATTTAAATGCCCCTAATGAGGCCAACTCCACTACCCTCTCCGGCAATACATTCCACGCCCTTACCACTCTCCGAGTAAAGAGCCTACCTCTGACGTCTCCCCTATATCTACCTCCACTCACTTTAAAGCTATGCCCCCTCATAATAGCTACCTCCACCCTAGGAAAAAGTCTGACTATCCACTCTATCTATACCTCTGATCATTTTGTACACCTCTATCAAGTCACCTCTCATCCTTTGTTGTCCTAAAGAGAAAAGTCCTAGCTCTCTCAACCTTTCCTTGTAAGGCCTTCCCTCGATTCCAGGCAACATCCTGGTAAATCTTCGCTGCACTTTTCCAACGCTTCCACATCTTTCCTGTAATAAGGCAACCAGAACTGGACACAATACTCCAGATGTAGCCAAACCAGGGTTTTGTATAGCTGAAGCATAACTTCACGGCTCTTGTACTCGATCCCTCTATTAATGAAAGCTAACACACCGTACGCCTTCTTAACAACTCTATCCACCTGGGTGGCAGCTTTCAGGGAACTGTGGACATGAACTCCGAGATCCCTCTCCTCCGCCACACTGCCAAGAATCTTTACATTAACCCTGTTTTCTGCTTTCAAATTTGTCCTTCCAAAATGAATCACCTCACACTTCTCAAGGTTAAACTTCATCTGCCACTTCTCAGCCCAGCTCTGCATCCTAGTAAAGTTAGATCATACGGCCTTCATGGTGAGCTTGCCAACTGAATACAAAATTGGCTTTTACGGTAGGAGACAGATGGTGGGGTTGAAGGGTCATTTTTTAGGTGGAAGGCGCGACCAAAGGTGTCCCACAGGGATTGGTACAGCATCGACTTTTGTTTGTCATTTACCTAAATGATTTGGATGAGAATATAGGAGGCACGATTAGCAAGTTTGCAGATAACACTAAAATTGGTGGAATAGTGACAGTAAAGAAGGTCATCTAAGATTACAAAGACATCTTGCTCAACTGGGTCAACGGACTGAGGAGTGGTGGATGGAGTTTAATTTGGATAAATGCGAGGTACAGCGCTTTGGTAAAGCAAACAAGGGCAGGACTAATACAATTAATGATAGGAGCCCTGGTAATGGTGTGGAACAGACAACCTAGGGGCTCAGGTACATAATTCTTTTAAATTTGCCTCACAAGTAGACAGGGTGATTAAGAGGCGTTTAGCATCCTTGACTTCATTGCTCAGACCTCTGATTATAGGAGTTGGGATGTCATGTTGAGATTGTAAAGAATGTTGGTGAGGCATCTTCTGGATTACTGTGTGTAGTTCTGGTCTCCCTGTTATACAGAGGATATTACTAAACTGGAGATGGTTCAGGAAAGATCTACCAGGATGTTTCTGGGAATGGAGGGTTTAAATTATAGAAATAGGCTTTGACCTCTTTCACTGGAGTGTAGGAAATTGAAGGGTGACATTATAGAGATTTATAAAATCATGTAGCATAGATAAAGCGAATTGCAAAGGTCCTTTCTCTAAGGTGCATGAATTCAAAACTTGGGGGCATATTTTTAAGGTGACAGGAGAAAGATTTAAAAAGGACACGAGCAGCAATTTTTTTCTTTAAACACAGAATAGCTAACATGCAGAATGAACTGACAGAGGAAGTGGCGGATGTAGGCACAATTACAAAATTTAAAAGACATTTGGATAAGTACATGAGCAGGAAAGATTTGGAGGGATAATCACCAATCACAGATAAGTGGGACTAGTTTAGTTTGGGAACATGGCCAGCATGGTCAAGTTGGACTAAAGGGTGTCTTTCCATGCAGCGTGAGTCTACGACTCTAATAGCATACTGAATTGAATAAATACAATCGGATTGCCATCACAGAGACATGGCTGCAGTATGACTAGGACTAGGTTCTGAATACTGATGGGTAATGCCACATTCAAGAATAGGAAGCCAGATAAAGGCAGAGGGGTGGAACTCCAAATTAAAGATGGTACTGGTGCAATTATTAGAGATGGCCTAGGTTCAGGCGATCGGGGATGTACCAGTTTGGGTGGAGACTAGGGAGTAGGGAAAAGTAATCACTTGTGGGAGTGATCCATTGACTCTCGAACTACAAACACAATGTAGGATAAATCACACAGGAAGAAATATTAGGTGCTTGTGACAAAGGAACAGCAATAATTATGGGCATTTTCAACTGAAAAAATTAGACTGGTAAAAGATGAAGAGTTCATAGAATGGTTTTGCGATAGTTTCTTACAGCAGAACACTCCAGAATTAACCAGACATGAGGCTATACCAGACTTGGTATTGGGCAATCTGACCTTAGATTAAGGGAACCTTGGGGTAGAGGTGATCATAATATAGCTGAATTTTACATCCTGTTTGAAAGGGGTCACTGAGTCAAAGCTTAGTATTTTAAACTTAAAAGGCAACTATATTGATACATGGAATGAACAGGTTATCTTAGGCAAAAAGGTTAGACAGGCTGGTGCTGCTTTCACTAAAATTCAGAAGAGCAAGGGTGATTCGATTGTTCTACAGTTCATACTGTAATCTTATACACAAGTTATATATTTCACCACAATG